AACTGGGCAGGAGGTCAAAGTGGACTCTGGTTGCTGATTGGTGGAGCTGGTCGGCCGTCATCTGCTGGGCGGAGCTCCAAGCTTTCTTTCTGAAAGGGGTTGTTGAATGATGACTTTATTCTCAAAAGAAAAAACTTTTAAAAATATCTAGCGTGGCCCTGATACTCCGTTGCAGAGTGTTTATACCTTTTATATTATCATTTTTTTTAATCCAAGTACTATAGTGTATAGTTTTTAGACTGTTCTATATTTAGTATATTTTTGTTTTAGTTTGTTTTTGTTTAAAAAGCACATACAATATTAAAAAAACAACCCATATTTTATTGGTGCTATGATTCAATTTAAGGGTGCTTGGGCACCCCTTAAAATAGTCTGAAGACGCCTGTGCTGAACTCCATTATAATTTCTACACACTTCACCCTCAGAGTGAATTTAACCAGCAGAGGGCGCTGCAGGATTAAAAAACTGGCCTGTCAACTGTTCTGTGTTATGGTGATAATCCAGCATAAGAACAGATTCATCTCATAACATTCATGTCAGATTTAGAATCTGCAAACCAGTAATGTGTCTGTTTAATTAAAATGTTAAAATGAGTCTTTTTTTAAAAGATGAGGCTGCAGGAGAAGAGAAGCAAATGAGGATGGATCCACGGCAGCCATGTTAACCAAGTTACTGTTACTGGAGGCTGTCAGCAACAACAGGAAGCCCAGCTGTCCTCTTATTAACATAAAAAAATTCTCTTTGTATAAAAAAAATAAATTCCACAAAGAGAAACCGAACAAAAAATAAAGGCTGAGAAAAAACTGTAAGGAAAAACCAAATAGCTCCAAAAACTTTTTCAGGAGTTAAACTCCTTCTGATCAACATAAATTCTAAAACATTTACAAATAAAACTCAATTAGATAAATTAGAATAAAAGAAAATGAGAAAACAATAAATATGATAGAAGTAAGGTATACAAAAACATATGATGAAATAAATTCAGATGCTTTTGTTCTTTAAAAGAGATGAATAATGAAAATGAAAACAAAAAGAAAGTTAAATTTAAAACAAAATGAAATATTAAGCTGTTTTTGTTTGATAGTGGCCTGATTTATGAAAAAATCCACAAGCAACAAGAATCTAACAGTCTCTAAAATATGAGTTTTTGATTCTGCTCACTGGAAAAACGATCTAGAAATAAGTAAAAATTTCTTTAATTAAATTTATTAACCCTTAATTTGAGTAGATAATTGAGACAGTTTGCCAATTGAATGAGTATTTTTACTCTTAAAATAAGATCATTAGATTAGATGCACTTGAAATAAGTTCATGAAATTGTGTTTTCTTATTTTAAGTGTGAATTGTCTTGTTCTATTGGCAAAATGTCTCTTTTTTCTCCTCAATCCCAGAACAAATGCACTTATTTTAAGAAAAAAATGACTTATCTAGATTTCGATTTTTTTCCAGTGATTATTTTAAGTGAATTGTGGTTAAAACTTCGGACTGAACCACTTTTATTCTGCATAAAGAAGCCAGGCTGCTCTAACAAAACCAGAATGCTGTGGTGGTTTGGTTCAGTACCAGAAAGCAGGAAAATAAAACCTGTTTTGGGGGTTTGATGGCTGCTAAATCAGCCAAGGACATGCTGGGTGACAGTAATCTGTTACCTGCGCTGGAATAATGAGCGCGGCTGCAGAGTGTGAGCACAGAGCCCAGCAGAGTCCACAGTGAGTCACTCAGCAATCAGACACAAACGCTTTTCGCTCACTGTGGAGCATCACCAGGATTGACCAGTTCAGCAGCTGATCGGCTGCCACTTATTTCTCTTCTCTGTGGATTCACTCTGAAAGCTTTTTTCTCTACGGACTAATTTGTTCCCCAGTCAGACAGAGAAACAGAAGAAATCTGCAGGATCTCGTTGTGTTTTTGTTCTTCCAGACTTCAGGAGATGTTTTCTCTTTCACGCCAACCTGGAATGAAGACAGAGTAAAATTCTATTAGTCGAATTCTTTACTTGCATCACCTGTTAATGATTATTTAATGGAAAACTACACGCTGTGGAGTAATTTCACCCAAGTTCTCTCAGATCTAGATGGGATGGGTGACGAGGGGGAGGAGGAAGAGGAGGGGCGGGGGCGTGGTCTGCGCATCCTCCTTGGCTGCATCCTCTTCCTGCTCATCGTGTCCACGCTGCTGGGGAACACCCTGGTGTGTGCTGCCGTCATCAAGTTCCGCCACCTTCGATCCAAGGTCACCAACTTCTTCGTGATCTCTCTGGCGGTTTCCGACCTGTTCGTGGCGGTGCTGGTGATGCCGTGGGAGGCCATCACAGAGGTGACGGACACCTGGCTGTTTGGAGGCTTCTGTGATGTGTGGATCACCTTTGACATCATGTGCTCCACAGCCTCCATACTCAACCTGTGCATCATAAGTGTGGACCGCTACTGGGCCATCGCCAGCCCTTTTAAGTACGAGCGAAAAATGACCCACCGGGTGGCGTTTGTCATGATCGGGGTGGCGTGGATGCTGTCCATCCTCATCTCCTTTATTCCTGTGCAAATGAACTGGCACCGGGCTCAGGAGGACATGGATGGTGGAACGATGGAGGGAGTAGGGACCATATTGGGCGGGAACTTCACCAACACCAGCCACCTCAACGGCACTACCATGGCAACCATGAGCTGTGTGGCCAACCTCAACAAAACCTACGCCATCTCCTCCTCCCTCATCAGCTTCTACATCCCCGTGCTTATCATGATTGCCACGTACACCAGGATCTATCGGATTGCTCAGACCCAAATTCGCAGAATCGCATCTTTGGAACGGGCAGCGGAGCAGGCTCAGATCCAGGGCTACGGTTTAAACAGGAACCAGCAACAGCTCAGGGCCACCGACGAGGCCTCTCTGAAGTCCTCCTTTAAGAAGGAAACCAAAGTTCTGAAGACGCTGTCCATCATCATGGGGGTCTTTGTGTTTTGCTGGTTGCCCTTCTTCGTCCTGAACTGCACCGTCCCCTTCTGTGACCCGCCGTGTGTCAGCGACACCACCTTCACTGTTTTCGTGTGGTTCGGCTGGGCCAACTCCTCCCTGAACCCGGTCATCTATGCCTTCAACGCAGACTTCCGCCGGGCTTTTGCCAGTATTCTGGGTTGCAACCGCATCTGCTCCACCAACACAGTGGAAGCTGTGAACTTCAGCAATGAGCTCGTATCTTATCACCATGACACCACCTTCCACAAGGAGGCAGTGGTACCTGCACAGCCACAGCAGGGCCCTCGTAACCTCAGCATCGGCCTAGACGACTGCTTGGAGGACATGAGCGCGCAGTTCGAAGAGGAGTCCAACGTCTCCAATGATTCTCCAAGTCATGACAGGCTTTTGCTGCTTCCTGCCACGGTCCAACTGGAGGACAATGGAGAGATTTCCTTAGAAACAATCACACCGATTACCTCAGGAGCTGGACTTGAGACTGAGGTTCTTATACCAGGACAAGTCCAACCAAATGAGTAATAACAAACCCCCAACAGCCATAATTAGACCAGGTAACTCTTCAGCCTCATCAGTTCAGTATCGCTGTAGCATTGATGGTCTAAAGTGCAAAGTGGCCATTAAGGCGTGCTCTAAATCCTGAGATATCCACAAGCAGGCTTTTAGCTAGCAATGAGTACGGGCACACATTGTTAACCTGACTCTGCCAGATGGATTTGCTCCGCATATCCATCTGGAAACCTTCCGTTGAAGTAATTTTGGGAAGGGGCAAAAATACTGGTTAGCTGATTGGCCTATGTTGGTGATAGACGGGCCAAATAAACCAATCAGATCAACGAAGCATATGACGTACTAACAGAGCGATGAGGAAAACGCT